TGTATAAATATCTATTTCTGCATTGCTACGTGATTCTTGTACAAGTGATAGTTAAAGAAAGAAATAAAAAAAGAAAGAATAAAAAAGCAAAAATTCATTTTTTTTTGTCTTTTCTCTTGCTCTCAATTCCCATAAAATATGTAAGTGTGAAACAACGACTCATTAGTATCGTTCGTTTGGTCTCCTTTATTTTTTGTACGTATACACATAATATGTTGAACGTTAAAAAAAAAAAAAAAAAGAAAAGAGGAAAGAGAAGAGAATCATTTTAAATACCATCACTATCATCTACGACATAATAATAGTTATGATTACATATGCAAGTAGGAAAATAATAATTTCTTTTTTTTTGTTGATGTATATATACGAGAAAAAACACCGTTTTCTATTTATGGTGCTTATATTCTCAATTACATCACGTCAACATTGATTTTTCAAGTAGTTCTATATCTTTGCTAATACTACTATGGTGTGTGTGTGTGTGTGTGTGTTCTATTAATATGTACAAGATGTGTTTGATGCACTTGTACTTTCTGATATATATATAGAGAGAGATCTCAAAAACAGAATAGAAGAAAGATAAAGTTTACGTTATTCTGTCATCACTGATAAATCATCGTGTGTATGGCCAATTAGCTTCTGGGCAATTAACAAGTTTTTTGCAGAAGAACATATTGTAACCTACTTTTCTTCTATTGATAAAATTCTTTCGCATTCTAAATATAAAGAGAGATAGAACGGTAAGACATTAGGGCTTTTCTACTTTTAGTTAGTATTCTATATTAAGTAAAACTATTTCTCATTGACAACATTATTTCAATGTTCATTTATCATCAATCAAAAAGAAAACAAAATTTAAATCTAAACAAATGAACATCGAACTATATTAAAGTCTATTTTGTTAATCTATCCTTAACTTGCTATTTGATAAAGTGAATTTGATAATACCATGAATATAAAATAGATACGACTAGAAAAGAAACGAAAGAAATAAAAAATAATAAAAAAAAACAACAAAACAGAACAGAAAAAATAATTTTTGTTCATCATATATAAAAGTCTGTATATATATATATATATATATATATGTTGCGTTATTTTAATTTATTTTTTACTCGTTTATTTCACCTTTATATTCATTCTCTTTCTATTCTCTATTTACACTAACAATCATTAACAGTATTGAACATATCTCACTAATAGTAATATACACAAATATTGTGTGAATGTGCGTTATGCAAAAGAAAAAAAGAAGAAATGTGATCAACATTGAGTTGAAAATTGACAAGGAAAAGAGAAGAAGAAGAAGAAGAAGAAGAAAAAAAAAATGAGAACTCTTGAGTTTTCCCCTTATCACACATTCACACAAGAGGACAAACGGAACAATTTTAAATATATTTATATACATATATATATAGAGAGAGAGAGATGTGTATATATATGTACGATTATTGGCGAATATTTAATTTAAATTTTATGTCCACACCGTAATTGAATACATAACTGCACCTTAACCTGGTCACAGAGAAAGAGAAAAAGAGAAAGAAAGAAAAAATGAAATGAAGTATAATGATTGGAAAAAGAGAACTGTAAGTGTCGTGTTACATGATTAAAAAATGTGTAATGTGTAAAACATAGAGAAAATGATCAAAAAGAAAAAAAAAAAAAAAAAGAATAACGACCAACTATAAATATGAATGTGTAAATATAAATATTTAAAATATATTTGCAATGGACAAAAATGAGGTTCACTCATTATTTATTAATCTGAGTGGAACATCTCTCTAATGATTTGTGAGTGAGTAAGTCGAGAGAGAGAGAGAGAGAGAAAGAGAGAGAGGAACTATATTTTTTTTACAAACAAACCATATCCCTATGTAAGAATAAGTAAGTATATGTACATACAAGTAGAAAATCGTATATATTAAATGAACCAAAAGAGAACAAAAATGACCATCATTATTCAAAAGTGTATATGACAATTTTAATAGTTTGATCGTATTTTTTATTTTTTTATATAGACATCATACGAGACAGGTAGAGATGTCGAGACAAAAAATGAGAAAGAGATATAATTTATTTGTAAGACGATTGATTTTGTTATATATTTATTCGTTTCATCATTTTATAGTTTTTTTATTAGTTAATATATATATATTTTCGATAAACATAAATTATTTACTCTTTTCTTCTTTTTAACACTATAAAATAATGTCGTATAGTGAATAGTATTGTATGTGTTTTTTGTTTTTGATGAAAAGCAACTATTTTAGCTTATCCGTCATAGGATTGTTTCTTTTTTTTGTTTTTTTGCTTGAAATTTGGTGCTCTGATATAACCGATCCTATTTAAAAGTAAATTAAAAAATTACTCTACATACATACAACGTTCTTCTAAACTTAACTTTTATTCAAACATAATCTACTGTAAAAGAATAAAGAAAAAAGACTTTTGAAAATTTCATTTGTTTTTTTTCTTCTCTTTTTGTTCTTTTATATAAAATATGTTACTCAACATATATATACACACACACACACACACACACACATACATTTAATCAAATAAAGAAAATTGATGTGAAACAGAAAAAAAAAAGAAAATGAGTATAAAGAAAGAAAAGAAAACGAACAGATTGATAATAATTGTTGAATTTAATGTAGCATACCCATTATTTCTTTTTTAAAAATAAAAAAAAAAAAAAAAAAGTCCAGGCAAGCACATACACAATCTGCTTATTTCAGAAGCAAATATAATGATACATATTCATCATAGACAAAGAATAAGATATATATATACGGAGCATATATATAGAGAGAGAGAGAGATAACAATAGGTATATGAGTGTATATACGATGAAAAATCGTAAATGATCTTATTGCCAAAATAATAATGATCGCCACAAACATTCATACAGAGAAGAAGAGGAAAAAAATTATACTTTATTATTATATACAAAGAAATGTAATTTTTTTTCATTTTATTCCTTTTTTTTCTCACGTTTTTTTATCCACTTGATTAGGTAATCGTATATAGTGAGCGGTATAGTATACACACACACACACACACAAATCTTTAACATTTGTTGTTTTCTTCTCTTCTTCTTCTTATTCTCATCACCACCATTAGAAGAATAAAAGCAAGCTCAAAATATGAAAATGAAATAAAGAAATCAACTAACAAACATTGTCCGATTTTCTTCATTACATTTCATTTATATGTACATCGTATATTTGAACACCAACTTTTTTTTTCCTTACATAGTTACGCACAATATAGCTAATGAATGAACGCAACAACTACTACCTTTTAGTAAAAACAGGTATATAAACTTTTCTTCTTTTTTTTTTTATAAACAAAATCTCAACTTAGTGAGTATTACTGACCAATATATGCTTCGATTCAGTTGATAGCAAGAAATTATTTATTATTTTTGATATAAAATAGTAGAGATAACTATTTTCAAAACAATTATTTTTGCGAATTCTGTTTTTTGCGAAAATCGAGAAGCTTTAGAGACATGAATGAAATAATTAAAACTATACATGATAAAATTTTTTTATTACAAGAAAAAGTTAGTTTTTGTTTGTAAACAAAATCGTTTATTTCTATTTTTGAAAATTATTTTATTTATTAACTCTAACAGTCAAAACAGAGTAATTTATTTTTTTTCCCTCTTTTTCTCGCTTGCTCTAACATAATTTTCATATTAAATTCTGCTTTTTTTAATCAGTTCTCAATCCACCTTGTATTTTGCTTCCGCTACTATGTCTACGTCTATTATATTCCAGTTATTTTTTAATCATATCCTCTATCCTCATCGTCATAATTTTCTACTTTTCTCTATCTCTTTTCATCATCATTAAATTATTTTCTTTCTCTTACTCTCTGTCTCAATATCTAGCAAAACAATAATCGTTCTTATACATCGACGGAATCTAGAACCAAATGAATCGAAATGAAGAAAAAAAAAAGATTGTTAAAAAAAGAGCAATTAGACACTAAAAGAATATTTTCTTCGTGTTGTGCTCGACGTCGTTTTTTTTATCTATAATAATCATACTACATAACCGCACTGGACTGTGTGGCTGATTTGATTTGATTTTAGCTTTATTAAGAGAAAAAAAAGAGAAAAAGAAAAGAGAAAAAAATGAGGAAAATGAACGAATGCTGTGTAACAATGTAATAATCATAATAATAATAATTTTGTAGGCATATATAAGAAGAGAGAGATGTGTTTGTTCGTTAGCGGTGTAGTTGGTGAATATGTATGTATTGCGATTGGATTTGCGTGCACACACAAACACATAAAACAAGTGCAATTACATTTTGTTACTCGAAATTATGTGTGTGTGTGTGTATGCATAAGAGTTTTGTCTCTTCAGTTTGAAATTTTTTTTTTTTTTTTTGTGATTGTTTGGTATAAATATGGATGTTTTATCTTTTCGGTTCGATTCAAGAATGAGAATGAGAAGAAAGAACTGAAGAATGAAATGAATATACTGATGATGATTAGAAGAAAAGAAATATTTGTTTGAATGTACATATATTATTATTATTTTTCGGTATACACTTTTTTTTTTGTTCTTTTGGCTGTTACCATTATCTCTAATAGGCCTCGCTGTTTTGTTGCTTGTCTCAAAATAATACTCAACCGATTTTTTTTTTACTTGTTCTCTTATTCCAAATGAACTTTCACTTTTCATTATCGCACACTTATACGCATTACGTTATACGTATAGATATTACTTGCTCAATAACAATAAAAAAAAAAAAAGAGAGAAGACATTGTGTTGCGTTTTAGTTCTTTTTTTCAACGATGAAATAAGACCGATTTAATGAATGTCTTGAGAAATTATCGATTTCTCATGATAATTACAAAAATTTTTCAAATTTCTTTTTGTACTAGTAATCCTATTTTATTATCATTATGAATGAACAGTAAACAATTGTTTTCTTGAACCTATTTTAGATTTATATTAAGCTATGAACAATATTAAACAATGGCATCTGATAGTGCAACAACTGAAACATTGATTGGTCATCAATCTCGATTATCTCATACTCCATGGCATTCAAATAATGATTTGTTACATGTACCCAAAAAAATTTCATCCTTAGAACAATCGTCAACATCTTCTGAAACAAGTACACCAACGGATAGTCAATCAATCGATAATTCTAATATTCATATTTCGGATAAACATTTTAACGGTGAAAATGAAATCGGAAATTTTACTGAAACAAATAAAGACGATAATAAATTACCGTTATTATTAAATCAGATATTTATTAATGACACAACGTCGAACGATGATGATGATGATGATGATGATGCCAAACAAGAAGAAGAAGAAGCAAGTTCAGATATCTTAACTAAGTCATATAAGAATGATTCAACGTTCGATTTTACGTCAATGTCAGATAATGTTAAACAAGAACAAATTAAAATTCAAGATAACAGTCTTTTAACAAATTGTGACAATCAACAACAACAACAACAGGTAAAAGATAAATAAAATGCTTTAAAAAATATGATATTGATTATTTAATATGTAATAGAGAAGTTGTACATCTAAATGACAATATGACAGTAGGCGATAGCTGACAACAAAGATATTACTATTATTGATTTTATGTGACTAATAGTGACATCTGATGACGAATAAATGATTCCAACTACGATCTTTATTAAAATCTCTACTCCACAATATGTTCAAAATTCTTGAAAAATATAATAATGAGAGATTAATTCGATTTTTTTTTGTACATATTAGTACATCAAACTGAAGATATGTCTTATTATGATTGATATTTATTGAAATGCAGGTGAAAGATATAAGAAATACTTATCAAAATGAAAAATACTTCAACTAAGAGATCAAATGAGATTCAGAGAAAAAAAATAAAAATAAAATACAATGTTAATATTGTACTTTTATCAAATTTTGTTTTTTATTTTTACTAGAACTACACTGATCAAGATGAAAGTGAAGAAGTATCCAAAATAGTGAAAAGGATCACAAAAGAAACAGAACAGTCTGAACTACAACAACAACAACAACCACCAGCATTAACTAGTGCTTTTTTACCATTTGACAACAGTAATGGTGGTAGTGCGGGGGATAGTAGTCCAAAACAACTTGCACAACAAGATTTAAGTTCATCATCTTCATCTTCAACATCATCGTATGATAATGGAACAAATACATCGATTGATATTATAAATTCATTTATTCAATCAACATCAACCGTTTTAGCAAGAACGCTATCAAATTCAAATAATTCAACACCAACAACAGCAGCAAATGGTAGTTCATCAATTTATTTACATACAAGAAATTCTTCCAAAACATTAAAATGTCCAAAATGTAATTTAATTGTGAATTGAATATTTTTAAAAATTAACAATTAATCTTAATTGTGTACAAATAAATATATTTTTTTTCTATTTTAGGTAACTGGCATTATAAATATCAAGAAACATTAGAAATTCATATGAAAGAAAAGCATCCTGATCAAGAAACATCGTGTTTATACTGTTTGTCATCTCAACTTCATCCTCGATTGGCACGTGGTGAATCATATTCATGTGGATATAAACCTTATCGTTGTGAAATATGCAATTATTCTACCACAACAAAAGGAAATCTATCTATTCATATGCAATCAGATAAACATATGAATAATATTAGAGAATGTCAACAACAAACAAATAGTTTTATTTCAACAATTAGCAGTACTAATAGTAGCGAAACTCATCTACAAGATACTACTAATTCATCGCCACCATTAATACAACCACCATCACTATTAACAGAAGACTATTCAACGTTTGGAAGTCAAATATCATCAACAAAACAATCATCATTATTTCGATGTGATTCATGTAATTATGAAACAAATATTGGTAGAAATTTGAGAATACACATGAATAGTGATAAACATATTCAGAATAGTCAGCAAAAAGCGATAAAAAACGAAAATTCAACAACAACAACAATAACAACAAATGAGGAGAACGATAAAAGATCTGATGAGAAAGAAGTAAATGAAATAAGTCAACCGAGAGAAGGTAAGGAGTTTACCAGAACAAATTCAACGTAATGAAATTGCTCTATCATGCGTCACTCATTGAAAAGTATCTATAAGGCTTAGATTTAGTTCTATTTTTTTTTTTTTGTATTATTATTATTATGAAAGAAAAAAAAATAACCCCATTTTCAACATTTTACTACGAATTAGAGAAGAAAAGAAAAGAACGTTTTAACTAACATTTTGATGTAAATTAATTTGACCTTACACGACATCTAGAGAGCAGCGCTAACCGTTTCATATATTAAAATATGATGTAGTCTAACATTATGTTATATTATTAAATATATTGGACTTGAATGTTAAAGTGTGAATATTAATCTTCTATGATAGATTTTATAATTGTTTAAGATATGTTGTTAAAATAAATGAGTTTGCATTTATACTAAAAAATAAAAAACTATCAAAGAGAAATCAATAATTAGTTTGAGATTCGATCTTCTCTGTCAACAACTTGTATTAATTTTTTGTTTTGTTCATATTTTGCGATAAAATTAGTTATATATATATATATATATAAATATAATCTATGTGATTAGATAACTGGAAAAAGAAACGAGAGAACAATTCTTCTATGACTATTCTAATAAAAAATAGCTCATTAATGTCATCTTTGTAATCGTCATAACAAGTTTTTGTTTTATTTCTTCTTCTTCTTCTTCTTCTTTTTGCACCAGAACATTCGTTTTTGTCACTTTATTTGAGTAAATGAGAGAAAGAGACATATTCGAAGAAGAAAAAGAAAATGGTGAGAATAAGGCAATGAGAAATAAATATCGAAGCATTGTTTTTTCACTTTCTTGTACATTATGTATTAGACCAAAAGTCATTAATCGTTGCTCGTTAAATAAAATCTGTTACATATCTAACTGTCTATCAGATATATATATATATATATATATATGTACATACAAATATATACACAAACAGTATGTCATTCAGGTCTATCATTCTTATTAAAAAACGATATGAAAGAAAATACTGTTTCACTATGTGACTGTGTCTTTGTTTCATTTTTCTTTCTATTTTCAAAAAAAAAAAAAAACTGAATCAAAAAAATATCATTGAATAATATAATGATGGTACAAGAAACAGAAATATTAATCTTGACGAACAAAAACTATTCGTTTACCATGTTAAAAGTAAAAATAAAATTTGTATATTGTATATGAAAAAAAAAAGAAGAAAAAAAAGTCTAGCGTATAATATCATTGAAACCTATTAACATTTATTCCAATAAACATTTAATATGGAGCATTTGTCTTTCTCTCTTTCTCTTCTCATTTTTTTTTCTTCTTCTTCTTGCCACCAACTGTATCCATTTTATTAATGAATCGAATAAGAAAAAAAAATAGAGAGAAAGTATAAAAAAAAAAAAAAGAACCAAAAAAAGACGATACTAATATCATTCACTGATTCCGGACTACAGTAATATATGCTTTATCTCTCATTTATGTAACGACTATATCTCATTTCTTCTGTCTCTCGGTTCCCATCTTATTTTCTCTTCTCATAACTACTAATCGTCGTTTGTTGCTCATTATTGATAATTGGCAATCAACGGGTAAAGAAAAACTATTGCCAATGTCTGCCTTAACTTTTTCCTTTTTTGTTTTATATTTTCTCACTATGTATAAGAATATATTTGGCTATAGTTAGTTAGTTAGTTAGTTTATCGTATTTCTTCATTCTCTTCGTCTTTCGGTTTTTTTTTATTATAACATCGAACAAAAAAATAATAATAAAAACTATAACACATATCATAGAGACACTTTCACAGATTATATTATTTTTTTTTCCTCTTTTCGACTTGTTCGTTAGTTAATCTATACATACGTACACACCGCGGTATACTATTAATATTGTTACCATTGTGTTCATTCACTTATGATCTCTATACTTAAAACAAAGTATAATAAAATTATTTTTAATACAAACTAATTTCAAATGAATAATAATCATCTAAGAGGTAGGAGAAATTTATTTTTTCGTCTCTTGTAACATAATATTAACTATCTAACGTGGCGTATTCTTAGGATGGCTCACATGCTAAAAAAAAAACAATAGAAATGTTGTTCTGTTTTGTAAAATAGGGTGAACTTTTTCTTGAGAACTAATACCATTGTCAAAAAAACAAAAATGTGTCCATTCAGCACGCCATTTTCTGTCATTTTTGACAAGAAGAATATCTAATGTGTTAAATTTTGAAAATATTTTTCTGATTTCACAAAATAAAAATTTTTTTTATGTTGATATTTATCATTATCTCAATCATTTCTTAATGTTCAAAAAGTGAGTAAATCATCGCTATAGTGACTGATTGTTATCAATTGGCCCTATCTTCTACATTTAGGCCACATTCTCGGTTATTATCTAAATTGCTATTCATTAAATCAATTTCTAATATATATATTTTCTTTTTTGTCTATTTAGACGTGAATGTTGACGAAAATGATGATGATAAAATAGAAGAAAAAAATAATATTAACGTTAAACATGAAAATGAATCGATTTTAGTCAAACCAACAAATGATATAGAAGAAAAATCAATTGAATTAGAGAGAACATTAACTAGTCCATTATCTTGTCCATTATGCTCAGAATCCATCAGTAGTGTTGTAAGTGTTTTTTTTTTTTGTTTTTGTATCCCTCCCTCTCTCTCGCTCTCTCTATATATATATATATATCCTATTGATTGAAAACAAAAATCAAATTGATAAGAAATATTTGATTTAATTTTAGGATTTAATGAAACATCATCTTTGTACAATCCACAATTGTAGCACTAGTGCAATAAATCGGTGTATGTCACTACTAGGAATTGATTTTAATAGTATAACAATGCGTACAACAGCCAAAGATGGTAAGTTGATAGTAATACTATTTAATAAAATCAGATATTTAAATAATGTAGAAAAAAAAAATCAAAGATATAATAACATCTAAGAGGTTATTCGTGTTTGAATAAGTAAAATTGGTAACGAAAAGATGATCTATTATTTTACTTTTCATTCTTAAAAGATTTATTTATTCGCAATTTTTATATTTTGTGAATGCACTGAAAATTTTTCATTTTTAATTATAAATTGTATAAAATAGAGAAAAATAAAAATATCTTTAATAAAACTGATAGTAAAATACTATTATTTGACAAGATTTTACGTTAGGGGTCAGACTGTACTAGTTTATTCTGGTTTAGAATATGTCATTTAACTTATTTTTCACTTTAGTTATTTTGATCTAGATCATTGACTCTATATAGTTCATCTATATCTCTTCGCTTCTTTTTTTTCTTTCTTTATTTTTTCTTCTTCTTCTTCTTCTTTGTTTATTCGCGAGAAAAAAAAAAAAAGAAGAAATAAAACGTAAAAATCAAAAAGAAAGAAACAAGAGATAATAGGTGAGGACATACACATTTGATTGATGGTTAAATTATTCCTCATCGACGCCGCGATTAGACTAATTTTCTTTTTTGTTTTGTTATAAGTTATATGTACCCTTTCTTCTTCTTTTCTTTTTTTTTGTTTTTTGAATACCGACTACTAATAGTAATAGAAACTTCAACAACAAGTTTTTCGATAATGAACAACGATATATGAATGAGGTACGGTCATGTTTCCAAGTATTCATTTGACTCAAAAAAAAAAAAAATCAAGAATCGAATAAAAGAAATATTGATCAATTTTTTTATTAGTAGTAGTAACTAGTGTTATTTTTTAATAGATGAATAATGTAGCGTTGAGCTTTGTTATAATTCATTTCATTCATGATTTCAAACGTTTTATTAGATTATTTCAACAAATCGATTGTAAACAGTATTATAATGGGATTATATTAAAAATTTTTAGACAAAATTGAGATAAAACATCGTTTTATATGTTAAAAATAGAAAACATTAGTTAATAGAGTTAAATCGATTTTGAGACAAAAAAAAAAATATTTATAAAATACAAAAAAGAAAGTCAATCAAATCTATAAAATGGATGCGCATGAAATATATCGGTAATTACCTAGGCAGACATTCAAAAGAATAAGTAATAATAATAATAATAATAATCACTTTCTTTCTTTGTCTCTCTCTCTCTGCTCTCTTTTTCTCCGTTTTAGTGTATGATGCAGAACGGACAGGCACTGCTTAATGAAATAAGATCATATTCTTAAATGTTGGGTATTTATTTGCGAGTGTGTGAGAGAGAGAGAAAAGCAAAATAAAAAAAGAATAAAAACTAAAAATAATAAAAAAAAGCACGAAGGAATTATGATGTCTTTCTTATTGCAATCAGAAAATAAAAAGGTTGTTGTCATAGAAATATTTACGAGTAATTATCGATAAATAACAAAAAAAAAAAAAAAAAAAGAAGAAAAACAAGAAATTTTAACAGAAAAAGATCATTATATATGTTAGATGTAGCAATATTAACTGGAATTTTGGAAATAATCAAAAAAAAATTTTCTGTTAATTTTTTATAAACAACATTTATAGTGTGCAATGCAATGATTATCCTTTTCTTTTTTTTGGATAGATAAAAAAACCTAGCCTTGTAAATATATCAATTATTCGGTTTTTAAGTGATAAAAATGTTTTGAAATTTTGACACTATCGACAAACAATTATTACCGTTATCTTTCTTTACTTCAAATTTTGCGTGACTTTCAGATTTTTTTTTTCATCATTTGAAGTGTATCAAGTTTATTGAGGAGCTTTTTCTATACATTAATCGATTGTATATATGATGTTCTAGTCTTCTTATAAAGCTTTTTTTTTTAGTTTTTACAGATGTAAAGACATAATGGTGATTTGTGTATTGTCGTTGTTCAATATTTTTATAAGATATGTTCTTTAATATTTTGTTTTCTTTTGATAGTTTATAAGTAAGTTACTTAACAGTTTAATTTGATAGAATATATTATGAATGATTTTAATTTGATTGATTCAAATCCTTTGACCGAAAGGAATGGGTATAAAAAAAATTGACATAATGTTTCTTTGTTTTTTAATTAGTTATCCAATCAAAAAAATCTTAGAATTGATGCATTTGTTTTATGTGTTAAATATTATAGATGAATTACAAACTAAATATGCAAGTTTGTAATTAGTCATTAAATAATTTAATCAAGACCTTTTTTTCGTGACTGACTGTTAGATGAATTTATAAAAGAACGAAGCATTTTTTCCTACTAAAAACTTGTGTGTCATAACTAATTCTATCTTATATTTTTTAAACTCTTTAAAAATGATCACTCATTTTCTTTTCTTTTACATTTGTTTTATCGGCATTTGATCTGACAATTTGATAACTATGTCCTCATGCACACAATATGTATGAGTTCTTGAACTCTCTAGCTCATTATAGATGCAAAAGTGCAATATCTACATGTCAAAGATATTTGTCTCAATTTTTGTATGTTCGTTAGTGCCACAGCACATTGATGATATATATATATATATATATATATATAATGTGTGTGTGTGTGTGTGTCTGTCTCATAAATAAGAATGTATATACAGTGTCTACTAAAGCAATGAATACCTTTAATTAGATGAATGAACACGAATGCATACATGTATAGTTGAAAAAAAAACAAAAGGTGAAACTTGAGCAAGTGTCTCTCTTTCTCTTCTTCTTCTTCTTCATTCTATTGCCATTTTATATATTAGAGGTCATATATAAGAAGAGTTTTTCGAAATTTTTATATATATATATATATATATTCTGACCGTCTCCAACAAACATCGTCGTCGAAATTAATGAAATAAAAAAAAAAAAAAAAAAAAAAAAAAAAAAATTTTTTTGTGTATTATTAGGTTTGGTTTTGAACACACATATTAAGGTTTAATAAAAAAAAAAAAAAAAAAAAAAAAAAAAAAAAANATACCCATTCCTTTCGGTCAAAGGATTTGAATCAATCAAATTAAAATCATTCATAATATATTCTATCAAATTAAACTGTTAAGTAACTTACTTATAAACTATCAAAAAAAAAAAAAAGAGAAGAAATAAATTAACACACACATAGGAAATCTTTGACGAGGAAAAGAGAAGAAATATGAACGAATAAGAGAGTGATGGAGAGGTACAGATCACAATTACTAATTTTTTTGTAATGTCATCAACATATTTTGTCTATGATGTTGTTTCGTTCTTTTATACTCATTAAGCTGTATTTACGAACAGGCAGAGAAAGAGAGACTTTACAGATGTGTATGTTGTATTCCTATTTGCCATCATTCATTTCATTCATTAGTTAACGACTATATACGTACATTGAATGAGTTTGAAGTTTGATTGACTTTTTCTTCTACATACACATTCATTTTATTGATACTGCCTATGATAAAGTAAGATTTGATGCTTTATAATTTTTCTACTTTTTTTGTAAGAGAATATAATCAATAAATTTTCAGGCTAAAGTTTATGTTCATGTGGTTTTTTGAAACACGACATTAACTTTTCTCTCATTACATCAAAAATATTTATAGGAAATGATGTAGTTTTCTCTCATATAAAGAGAAAAATGAGAAAATATTTTGCATTACATGAATCTCGAACTATCGCTTTTTAACTGAAGGTGTCGCTCTTTTAGCTACTTGCATGTAACTTTTGATGATGTTGTTTGACCTTTCATGTCAATTCGGTCTGAATCCATAGACACTGTCAACAGATTTAGCAGCTATCTGTTTTGACTGCAGAAGGATTTCCAGTCGGTTTTGATCAGGATAGAACAGTTTAAAAGTTTAAACAGACAGTTCAAAATATTTATTCTATCATTCTATTCCATTCTAATCTGAAACGCTTCACTTATGCTAATTTCAAACTATGTGTTATCTGTCGAGTTCAACTGGTACGATTTGATCATATTTGACGTATTTTTTATGAGAAAAAGTCAAATGTATATTAAAGTACAAATACTCTAGTTAAAATCTAATATTTCTGCACGATTAATTAATCTATAAATTTAGTGATAAATAGTGTAGAATGTTATCGAAACTTAACGGGTTCCCTCCGTCGGGAAAAACATTTTTTGTTCTACAACTGATTTTGATGAAACTTATAAAGATTAATGATTATCATCTACCTAGCGTATGCTAAAAATTTGAGCTCAAAACATTGAAAAATGGCCGAGTTATAGGTATCACAACTCTCAGCCAAATTGCTACTTGTAGACAGTTCATCGAACAACCATCATGGGTTTTTTTATTTTGAAGCCAAGACATTTATCGAAAGATTGACCGTGGTGAGTTTTGAAATTCGCTTCCGTTCATTTTCTACACACACTTTAAGTCAAAATCTCGAAAAAACCGTGTAATTCGAAGCAGTAATTTTCATTTTTCTCAGCTCAACAAGTCTAATTCAAATATGGCTACGGGCAATCTTTAGACAAATGTCTTAGCTTCAAAACAAAAAAGGCAATAACGTGAAGATCGTACAACGAACTGTCAAGAAGGAGTAGTAAGTTTACTGTGTTAAAACCATGTTCCGAGAAAAACGTTAAACAAATTTGAAGTAATAGATCAAAGGTTTAATCTAGGAATATAATACATATTTATGAAGTAGAAAAAGCTCTTTGTGTTGATAAATAATTGATTAAATTAGATTTTATAAAATATAACATGACGGTATTTCATTCACGATAACTAAGAAAAATCTACTAAATAGTGAGGAGACTAGTAGAAAACTTGTCAAAAACCCCATGTGAAACTAAGTTTTTTTGTGGAAAGCAATACAAATTTTGAATTAGGAAACTTCATCGTATCTAGCGAAGTAAGAAACACAATTTTATTTTTGTTTTTAATCAAAAATATCGTTTTTTTTTTTTGAGGAAGTGAGGTCCCTTAAATGACTATATCATCTTCCCTTACTTGTTTTGAAAGTTAGTTATAAAGAACAAACAAATTCTATCGTTCATACAATATAACTGGTATATCACAATGGAACATGCTGTGTTTAATTCTCTTTTTTTTTTTCTTCAGAGTCTAGTAGTAGTATACAGTATGTACATTCTTTCATATATATACATTCATACACAGTAATTATTATCAGCTACTATATATATATATATAGATGTATAATTTGTTCTTTTCTTCTCTTTCTCTCTGTCAATTTCACCTGCACGACGCGCTCTATACACATACATATCATGAACATAACATCAAAAACTAACCATTTTATTATATTTTTTGTTATATATTTTTATTTGATTGATTGTTCAGTAATAGGAGAAATGTATAGACAATAGACAACGACATTGTTTTAAATAATAACAATAACAACTCTAACCGTCAATGTCTAACATGTTTAACATATTAAAATTATTTTCATTTCTTTTTTTTTTTTTTTTTGAATATTGACTTTTTGACCGTTGTCTACTACTTTAACTCTAAACATATCTATCTATCTATCTATCTATATATACTTGAGAGTAATGTGTCAGATTTTAAAACATATATATATTTTTATTATAGGCTATAGTCCATTGGATTATTAGATTAAAATTAACTGTTGCAAATTGTACATACACAATTAGAGAGTATTGGATTTTTATCTTCAATTTAAGAGAGAAATGTCATGACTAATTCTGTAGATAGCAAAATTTATTTTCATAGAAAAAAACAAAACAAAAGACATTTAAAATCGAATAATTTAAGAAAAATGAGGAAGTTTATGTATAAAAAAAGAAAATGAGTCAAGATATCTATCATTCTTTCTCTCTCTTCTATTATCGAATCGTAAAACTTCAAAAAAAAATTTGATAAATTTTCAGTGACTACTCAAAATATTTTATCCTTTTCATGTTTTTCTGTTAATTGTTAACGTTTTCTTCTTTTTTTTTTTTTTTCATACTTTCATTTCATTTTATCTATGATGCTGCAGGCATATAAATTTATTATATATACTGATAATCGATCACGAGAATAAAAAGTAAAGAAATTCTTGTATTGTTATTTTTCTTCTACAAATGTTTTAGTTCGTAATCAAAGTAGTATATATATATATATATTAAAAAAGAAGAGAAAAGATATATAAGTTTTTAAGGAATTAAAACTCAATTTTATGCCCTGTCTTTCTAACTTATATGATGATTGTTTCACGACAAATCATCGGAATACTTGATGTTCTATGTTTGTTGAATTAATGTCTTTCTTTCCAATTACCTGCCCTCACTTCTATCTATAGATGACGACTAAAGGTAATGAATGGGATAGGAGAGAAAAACAATAAAAAAAAATATATATATAAAATAAAAATAAATTTAAAATAAGAACGGTAAAGTACATTAGATTACTTCTTTTTTTTTTTTTTTTTTTTTTTTTTTAAAAAAAATGTTTAAAAATCGGGGGGGTTAAGGGGTTAATTTTTTTTTTTTTTTTTATTTTTTTTTTGTTGTTTGTTTTGAGACGGGGC